CACACACACACACACACACACACACACACACACACACAAAAGAGAGAGAAAAAGAGAGAGAGAGAGAGAGAGAGAGAGAGAGAGAGAGAGAGAGAGAGAGAGAGAACCTCTCTGAGACAGAGGACCAGCACAGGCATCAGGCCTTGATAACCTGCTTCTCTGGCCAGGCTAAGACCACACAAGCCCATAGCCTGTGGACTGCTTTAAAACAACTCGAGAAGGGGCTGGGGAGGTGGAGGTAGGTAAAATACCTCCTGCTCAAACACGAACACCTGAGTTTGGCTTCCCTAGCCCAACGTAAAAGCCAGACGTGGTAGTGTGAGTCTCTAACCCCAGCACGTGAGAGGACGAATCCCCCCACCCTTTCCCCTGTGGTTGTGGTGGGGCCCTGGGGGGGGAGGGGTGAACTGGGGAAGGAGAGGCAGATGCTGTGGCCAGAGCTCCCTGCCCAGTTCCTCCGAGTCACACAGAAACTTCCCATAGTGTGAGACCACAACAACAGAACAAGCCTCTGATGCCCAACCAGCTCTGACAACCTCTCTCCTGCCACCAGGAAAGCTCCCGTGCCCAGTCAGTGGCAAAGAAGACCGGAAGCAGGCACCGGAGCTCACCTGTTTCGGGAGACACTTTGCCAGCTAGGAGGGCAGGACCTATTAGTCAATCATATTAGTCAAAAGCTCCCGATCCTGGAAACACCAGTTTCCAGCAAGGTGCTTCCCAGATATGGGGCAGACTCAGGCTCCCAAATCGCTTTGTTTACTCCTGCGTCTGAATCCAGAGTAGGCAAGAGGAGGAAGGAGAAGTGGCCTCCCCCAGGGAAATCAGCTGGAACCTAAGGTATTTCACCAACCATTGTGAAATGTGGGGCTCCTAAGAGGAGGGAGTGATGGAGACAGGACCAGGCAGCCCCTCCACTACCCTGACACATCAGGATGTTTCCACTGACGGCTGACTTGGGGATGAGTCCTCTCAAAATCAGGCTAGGACAACACATATTGCCTTTCAGCAGAAGCATCCCTCTCCACCTCCCCCAGGACTCCCTGGTGTCCATCCTGGAGTGCCCAAGTCTTTTCCAGGACCTGCTTGTCCCACGTCTCTTAGGCTGCGTCTCAGGACCCCAGCAAGAGACCCATCAAGGTCTGCAAATGAAGCAAAGGACCTTGGGGAGCCACCTCGGACACTTCCTGGGCACCAGGGGCAAACAGAGGGGCTATTCCTGTTGGCCTTGGTCTCTAGTACAGGATGAGAATTCTGGGCTTAGAGGAGGAGCGAACAGTTTGTGGGACCCTTGGCCTAGGTGCAGCCCCATAATTCTTGGGACCAGAAAATAATTGGCATGAGGATTTAAGATATTGAGGCCCACAGGGCTCCAGCTGGTTCCAGGAAGTCCATCGGCCTATGGTGGTGAGTAGAGTGGACTATGGGCCTGGTGGGTGTCCTCAGGGAGAGAGCAGAAGTGGTGGTCCTGAGGGAGCACCCCTGAGGGAGCACTCCTGAGGGAGCATCCCTGAGGAGAAGGCTGTCTGCATATCACGGTGGTGAGCAGGAGCTGTCTCATGGTCCTCAGGTCCCCACTTCTGTGGGTGCTGCTTACCCCCTACCCACTCCATATGCCCAAACACCACCTCCCTCTCCCTCAGCCCACATGGAGACAAATGCCACCCTCCTTTCAGGTACAGCAAGCTTGTTGACCCCAGGCTCTCCCTGATTGTCGGCCACTGGCTTGGCACTGTTACCTGGTGAGGATGGCCAGGTAGTCTCTCAGGTGACAGGCTTTCCATACCAACCCTTCTATTTCGACTTCACATCCAAGCTCGGCCAAGATGCCAGCTCTCTGGCTGGATGCGGTAACTGTCCCGATGGAATGGAGCCAGCGAGGTTCTCTGCCCATCCTGGAGGAATTGTGGCTCTATAAACAGGTAACCCCGCCCCCAGGTCACCACCGCACAGTACTTCTCATCTTCCTCAAAAGGCTGGCCTAACCAGCAGCTCCAGAAACCTCTGGCAGAACACCAGGCCTCATGGGTGGAGCATCCTTCCTAGAGCTGAAGTGTCAGGAAAGAGGTACCAAGGGCAGCCAGGAAGGACAGACAGTGGGCAGAAGCTGGTCCCCCTGAGGCAGGGGACAGTGCTGAGAAAATCTTTGTAGGTCAACCCCATCTAAGTCAGCCTGGCCCTGGAAGAGAAGGACTGGACTCCTGAGCTCAGCTAAGAGGCCGGGCCTCTTGATGCTCCACGAAACAAGGAATTTAGTCTCCGTATGAAAAGTAACTGAGGTGGGCACCATGTTTACAGCCCCTCACCTCCACTCACTCACAGCCCCTCATCTCCACTCACTCACAGCCCCTTCTCACCTCCACCCACTCACAGCCCCTCACCTCCACTCACTCATAGCCCCTCACCTCCACTCACAGCCTCTCACCTCCACTCACTCACAGCCCCTCCTCACCTCCACCCACTCACGCTCTGCTTCGGCAGCTCTGTGCGTGTGTGGTGCACGTATGTATGCATGAGTGTAGACACAGGTGTGTGTACACACATGTGGAGGCCTGGGGTTGATGTCAGGCATTTAGATTTCTCCCCATTTTACTCACTAAGGCATGGTTGCTCACTGAACACAGTATTTTTTTTTTAAGTTTTATGTGTACGTGTGTGTGTCTACGCACATCTTTGCATGGATATGTAGGAGACCAGAGGGGAGGGTGTCAGATCCCCTGGGGCTGGAGGTACAGGGCAGTTATGAGCTGCCTGATGTTGGGTGCTGGGAACCAAACTCTGATCCCATGAAAGAGCAGCAACTGAGGCCTGAGCCATCTCTTCTGCCATGAACACAAATTGTATGTGGGTATTGGGGATCCAAATTTCAGTCCTACGCTTGCCCCACAAACGC